AATCAGAACCTTCTTTTCATCTATCTTCATAAAGCGACTTGATTCGACTTGGTATACAGATATTATTAGTTTGAAATACTCTCACAAGTTCTTTCAAGGTGTTCCACATGGTTCCCTTCTTTTACCATTTTTCTACAACTGTGTTTATTATACTGCATGTATAGCCTCGACTCAAATATTCTAAACTCTGAACTTATGTCGAAACACTAGAAATATACGATTCTTACACGATTCATTCCGCAATTTCCGGTCTTCAGAGATTCCTTATTCAAATAACTGTAAAGGTGTAACTTGTAATGACTTTCACTAAACGTATACTTTTCCCATCCCTAAGTATCAAATATTTTTCATAAATTAATTTGCTGATAAATGAAATTATGCTATCTTCTCACCTTGAAATTAGAACCTTCTTTTCGTCTATCTATATAAAGCTACTTGATTCGACTTGGTATACAAATATTATTAGTTTGAAATACTCTCACTAGTTCTTTCAAGGTGTTCCACATGGTTCCCTTCTTTTACCATTTTTCTACAACTGTGTTTATTATTGCATCGACTCAAATATTCTAAACTCTGAACTTATGTCGAAACACTAGAAATATACGATTCTGACACAATTTCCGGTCTTCAGAGATTCCTTACTCAAATAACTATCAAGGTGTAACTCGTGATGACTTTCACTAAACGTTTATTTTTCCCTTCCCTAAGTATCAAATATTTTTCATAAATTAATTTGTTGATAAATGAAATTATGACATAATATTAGAAGATATATGTTTATTATGATAATAAAATAAAAATTTCTTGGACAAAACAGCCGCAAATACACCAAACATACTGTTTTATATTGAATAACTATAATTGTGTATTAATATTTTATTTTGTTTTCATTCCGCAATTTCCGGTCTTCAGAGATTCCTTACTCAAATAACTGTCAAGGTGTAACTTGTGATGACTTTCACTAAACGTTTACTTTTTCCATCCCTAAGTAACAAATATTTTTCATAAATTGATTTGTTGATAAATGAAATTATGACATAATATTAGAAGATATGTGTTTATTATGATAATAAAATAAAAGTTTCTTGGACAAAACAGCCGCAAATACACAAAACATACTGTTTTATATTGAATAACTATAATTGTGTATTAATATTTTATTTTGTTATCGTATGTCTGATGGAATTGAAAGAAAAGGCAAGGGTGTTTTTATTCGCGGGAACGTATTAGGCTGTCGGATACTGGGAGGAAGGAAGGAAGGAAGGAAGTTGGAGGAAACTTCCTACCGCCTCAAACACGTGACTCCACCCCAACCAATCCCGAGCATCCGTTAGTCCCGGCAGCAGGATAAATCCAGGACTATTGATATGCATACCAAGTCTGCCGCGAACAGCGAGTAAGTGTTTCCAGGTGATATGAGAAAAGTTTCCACTTCCATGACGGAAAGTGTTATTATTGCGAAAGTTTCAGTTCAAAAATAAAATGAAAACCCTCTCTGGCAACGATCCCTGCTAGGGGTTGCACCAACATTTATAAAAATAATAATACAACTGAATATATGTAAACGTTGCGATTCATCTTGGTGGATGTATGAGTGACCTTTTGTTGGTTTCACAAACACTCAATTCCGAGAACAATAACTAGCGTCCACTCTTGGGTTTTCCAGCTCGTCCCAGACGTTCAGAAAGAAGCCCCACAAACGGAATACTAATTGCGTTCACGCTAAATGCACGCGCTCGATTTAAGTCGAGGCAAGTTTTAACGGAGAGAGAAAAGTGCGAATAATGATAATACAGATGATATAGACGCGACGAAAGGGATTTCGAGCAGGAGAAGAAATTTATGTTTCGTGTGTAATAATGTTGAGCGTCGGAGAGCGGCGTCCCGACGCAAGGGATTACCGGACACAGCGGGCGAGCATCTACAAGTCTAATGCCGTCACTCGACCCGCTGACTTCTGGCTTTCGCCCTTCGCACAGGTCTTATCCTACATATATATTGCCACGATAAACTCCCGAAACGGCCATTTATTAAACGCACTCACGTTACGGCAACACCGCTCCCCTAACAAACTAATCGAAAATTAAATCAATCCACCCTAGAAATCATTTAATAAGGATTACATCTGTTCATTGATTTCATTGAAGAAAAAGCAAGAGAAAAAAAAAACAACAACACTTCTCCGCAACAACTAAAGTATTTGATTTATTTATTATATATCCAGAAACTCTTATTAATCACCCCAGTTTAATAATATATTTATCTGTTCCTCACCATTACCAAACGGTATTTATCATTACTGAATGGATTGTTTCAATAATCTTTATAATATATTTTGTCATAATTCTTATAATCGCACTTTAAATTTTAAGTTATTTATTTACATATAGGAACCCGTTTCAATAATAATTGTAATAGTCATGAATTGACGAATGTTTAAGTATATACTAAGTTTATATATTTTACTAATAATAGAAAATCTTCAAAATTAATTGATTAAAAACGTTCTGTATATTCATTTTAAGCAATTTAATTATATTAAAAATACTTGAATTTAAATTTAAACTAAGCGCAGACGATAAAAATAAGTGCAAAGTGGAAAGCTGTAAATAACCACAACACAAAAACTTACTTATAAGTGTTAATTTTCAAATGTTTTCCATTTTATGTTATAGTTTAGTTGTGAAAAGACAAGATATCCCTTTGCATTTGTCCGTTTTTTTAAGATTTTGGAATAAATAATATTCCTAAATCGGACACTTATTTTGGTCTATCAATTGTAAAAAGTTTTGTGATATTTCACATTCGAAAATTGATCCATGAATATTATAAATTATTTAGTTATGTTAACATGTATTGTTGCATTGTTTAAATTTCTTAAACTGGTAAATATCAAGTAGGAGATGAACGAGTTACAATAATAATTGTAATAGTCGTGAATTGACAAATGCTTAAGTATGGATTAACTTTATATATTTTACTAATAATAGAGAATCTTCAAAATTAATTGATTAGAAACGTTCTGTATATTCATTTGAAGCAAATTAATTATATTAAAAATACTTTAATTTAAATTTAAACTAAGCGCAGACGATAAAAATAAGTGGAAAGCTGTAAATAACCACAACACAAAAACTGAAACTGTAATGACTCGTCTGATGAACTAATGACTACGTCTAACCACAGACCAAACACAGTACCTTCATATAGGAAAATAACAACCAACAATACATAAAAGAATAAGTGAAAAGCTTAATACAAGTGAAATAATTTGTTTTTTAATGAAATTATTATGTTTAGAAATTAGTCGTTATTTCTTATTAGGTTTAGTATTTGTTAGGTTTCCCTAATGTTGGTCAATCATTAACAATATTGAAAATCATAGGTATTAAACTAATTACCAACTGGTTACCAATACTATATATTAAATATTAGTTTTTGTAATAGATAATACTTGAGTTAACTTTAATCTCGATTGTATGAAATCTTATATTAATAGTGTTAATAGTAGATAATCTTATGGATTATACTAAAAAAAAATAAAACAAAAAAACGTTGTAATTGAATAGCATGACCTATTTGAGTGTAAATAGTGTAATTTATATAGAAACCGATAAGAAAAGGGGGATAACAGTACGCGAACGGAATCTCTATTCTCTTTATGTGTGTATGGGTATATTGTTGGCCGGACCTTTCGGCACTTTTCCTCCAATTTTATACGTCCGCGCTCGCCCATTATTGCGAGGAAGTGCCGAATAAATCTGAGCCCCGGTTTGTAATTCCGGTCCGATTTAGATAACAGGAAGAACCTCCTCTCCCTTTTATTTAGAAAAAAAAGGGCATTAGTTTACTCACCTTCTCCGTCGGTGGGGATCGTACAATCGATGTTCAAAGGGCTGCTGGCACGTCCAGTAATGCTGTGTCTTAAATGGGCTATATATTTAGCTAACAGTTTGGCAGTCCTTTCGTCTTCCACCAACTTCTCGAAATCGGATACAGTCAAATTGCACAAATCTTTTCCCGATTTTGGAAACTTCTTTGGGTCCAGAGCGACGCCGGTTAGGAACTTCTGTTTGCACCACTTGAGCCACGATTCTATGTTTGCTTCGTTCCACTCTATTGGGTCTGCATGTATACATAATTAATTTAAAAGAAAAACTATATTAACAAATGTATTACCTGAAGGTACCAGCACTTCAGGGTCATCATCAACATCTTCATCATCACTAGAACTATCTTTATTTACAATGTTAGGAACTTTCTCTGTTGATGTGGTTCGTTCTAAAACCGGAGATTTTGCACTAAGTTTTAAATTTGCATTGTAATTGGCGTCTAAGTTCAAGATATCTTCCTCCGAACTCTCACTATCACTTACAACAAAAGCATGTTTTTGATGCTGTGATTCTAAACTGGGATTGTAGGCATGATCTAAATTCAGTAGATCTTCAATTGAGCTTTCACTATCACTAACTTCGTAAATATCATCAGGTTTTTGATAGAAACTCGTGGAAGGGACATTCCATAAATTATCATCTGGCGTTGTATCAATTTTATCAGCGGTAATTTGATATAAGTAATTTAAATTTTCTTCTTGCGTTGCACTGAAAATATCATTGAAACTCTCATCAGTTTCGCTCATAATTTCTCTTAATTTCAGTGGATTATCTTCATAAAAGCTTACTTCCTCGAAGGGAATATCTCCAAATATGTTAGGTACTCGTCTATTATCACATAAAATATTAATAAAGTTCATAGATTTTCCTGTATTCGCGTGGCTTTTTAAGATTTCCTTCTCCCTTGCACGTATTCTTTTTGTACAATTTATATTTTCGGGTTTGTATACAAATAAGTTCTCTTTATTTGAGTCTACATGTTTTGAGTCACAATTATTGCGAATTCGTTTGTAGCTGTGAATTATTTTCTTTGAATCCAAATCGTTAATTGTTAATTTCTCCTTATTATTGTTATTGCATATAATTTCTCTATTTGTTGTAAATCCAATTTGTAGGCTGATAGACATTTTCGTTACAAAGAATTACGATAGATATTTGTTATAAATTGCATATTTTGATTTTTCGTCGCTAATTTACGAGTTGCATTTTATAATCGAAATAAGTAAATACGAACTCGAAGATCCGACGGCAGTTGCACAATTATTGAAATATACCACATCATTGAGACAACACTATCACTCACTCGAATATCGGTTAACTGTTAACTGCATTTGCTCGGTAAGTCTTTCGAAGTTCTTCGATTGAAAGTCAGCGTTCAACTGGGTTTAAGTTGACGTTGGTGGTGTCTTGAGCATCTTGGGTTCCGCGAAACCGCGGTGAGTAATAACGAATAATGTGGCCCCGGGATGTTAACAGATTCATTCTTTTTTATTCATCCATCGCCAGAGGTTGAAGATCGGCGGGGGCAAAACCCATTTTCTCCGCCATTGCAGAAACCCCACCAAAAAACAATTTGGCGCTACATTTTAAGAGTGTCTAAGATGAATTTTTTTTTTCTTACATCTGGATCAAACGTGCCTCATTACGTGGCGCATACACCAACACTGTTTTTTTTTTCTAGTATTTCTTGATCAAAATGAACCAGATTTCTTGGAAATTCGCTTGGTAAGTGAATCACCCGATGCCGGATCTGATTTCGTTCGAATCTACCAAAACAGATACTAAACCGTTTTAAAAGCAATCCAATATTAATTTCATCTCGAGACGAGATTGACTCCTCACGGGGTTTTATGGATTTCTCGAAGTTTCGATTGGAGTTGGTCAACAAAAGGGGCGGTTCGTGTAGTGCCAAACCAAACGTGTTTGCTTTCATTAAATAGTTGGAAAAAAAAGTCGACCAAAGTCGTTTTGGGTGGCACAAAACCGCAAAGAGTGTTTGCAATAAACAACATTTCTCGTTCTTCGGCTTCTTTTTGTACTTGTCCAATTAATTCGTCGTTACTTTGAGGCCAGCTCGCGGTCTAGTCAAATTTGAATCATGACATTATGCTTACACATTTTTTTTTCGTTATATTCCGCAACAATAAGAAGATAGATAATTTTAGGGTGCGGAATGTTCACTATTTATAGGCTTATTCCAAAGAATCCTGCGAACATGAAACTTGTTGTCTTTTTGTGAATTGTTGGATTCCTTGAATTAGAAACTAGATTCTGATTCGGCGTATTATATAAGCCCAGCACGAGATGAATTAGGGACATATATCAACATGTCGAAAATTGTTAGATGCTTTATAATTAAAGGAGACTTCGATTCCTTGAAGTCGGCGGCGGCAACCGGAGGAGATGGGTAGTGAACAGATTATCAGGAAACGAGAGGAAGTTTGCGGTTTTGCGTTGCGTTCGTTTTAATTTAAAGTCCTTTTTCATTGTGCCAAAAAAAAATAAGAGAATATACAAAATAAAGTATTGGCTATTTTTTTTGGTTGCTGCCGCTTGTTGTGCTTCAGAGCGGCGCCTGCTTGTAGACAGACGCTTGGCTCCAGATGATTCAGTGGAAATTTATTAAACTACACCTACTGAGCACCATTTCTATTAATAGTGAAACAATTCAACACATTTTCTTTAGTCAATTGTATTTAATTATATCTTCTGGAAACATCAAATATTTTAATTGTATATTGACAAATATACTTCTTCCTTTGAGTTTCTTGAATTTATTCATATTTTTTTAGTGATAATTTAATAATAAATCAATTAAATATAATTTAATCAATTATTAATAAAGTTTAGTTTATTTAAATATATAAAAAATAGTATTTTTATTTAAGTCTGTATATTTAATTGAATCTACTTATACATCATCATTTTCATGAATAGTCCCATGTTTTCTATATAAGGATCGATCGTTAAGAGTAGTCGGGCAGGTACGTAATTCACCCAGGATTACTTGTTTCAATGCTTGAGCTATAATATTTTTAGTGAATAGTTTTTAGCGGATAAACTCATATACATTAAAGACACGCAATCGTCGTCGGTAAAGGAATGCTAATTATTTGTTATCCAGAAAGATATTATAAGTATTCGTAACAAGAAAATTAAATTTATAATTACATAAATTACAAAATTAGTGCATTAACATATTCCTTAACATTATATAAACATACACTTTTATGTGATGTTGAATGTGTATGTTGTATATAGTTAAGCAATATATTTTGGAGATATAAGTAAATATGCTAAAACATTAACAAATTTTCATTAATTAAATACTTTTTGAGTATTCATTTTAATTAAATTAATATAAAAATAAGCAACAGTCTGACTTTAATTATACTTCATTTGCAGATACATAATTGTATTCGCATTTGGATTGGATGGACAGAAAGGAATGAAGTTATTTCTCAGGTTTACCTGTACTTCTTTTCAGTAATAACGTTAATTATTATCCCCCTTGCATAGTATCGCGGTGAGTCATCGAGTTCATTCATGAATTTCACGTCTTCTTTCCCACCTTTTTCTTTTTTCTGTTCTTCTTCGACCACTTCTTGTTTTACCGTATGTTGATGACCTATCTCGAGATGCGTTCTCGCGGTTCGCGCGATACCTAAGAATGCGGCCACCTATTATGGTAATATGCATTTTATCGATGAGATTCCAGTTAGGAATGTTCTCAGAGGGAATTATCATCGTACGTTATGCGTTTACACCCTCTGGCTGGAAAGTTAATTATTAATAGCACCGGATTGAAACGACTCTACATAATTATTTTTTTGGTTTGGTTGAATTGAATGAGACGGAAAAAATATTTATATGTATAGAGATTGAAATTCTACGAAGACAATGTTTTCCCCATACAGTATTTTTTTTTAATGAGTAATTTCCTTGAACTGTACTACATTATTCATTCATTCATTCACATCTGTTTGCGTCTCGGTAGAGTAAGTAGTAAAATCCACATCGGAAGTATTTCCGTGTTTTTTTTTTTGTGTTTTAAGAGTTTGGAGAAATCTTAGAAATTCAGGCTAGTGCGTATGAATCATTGGTTTTCGTAGAATCGATGAAGGAGGCAGACTAAAGATGATATGCAACTTTATCAACGCACTTTCTAGGCCACGCGGTATTCGTTCCTGGAATCCATTCACTTGCCCGATTCCAAAATTGATATTTGCACACAAACACACACACTCAGTCACGATTTTATTTATTGCTCAATAACATTTTCCATTCAACGATTTATTGGTATTGCATAAAAATCCATTTAAAGTTTCTTCACTTATTACCTTTACATTTGAAAATATTAAGTGAACAAATTTACACAAACAATTTAAAATACTTTCTATAAATATACATTCAATTATAAATATACATTCATTCAACCTCACTTAACGAGCGATGTTTCGCTTAACGAGTGACGATGAGAAGAGAAGTCCCGGATTGCGCTCCTTCTACATCTTTGTTTGAAGCTGACTATACTTTACAAATATAATTTATGTTTGCTGTAAATGCGAAACATAAATGTATTGTGTCCAACCATTATTATAATATATAAACACACTATGTACGCTTTTTTTATATAATCAAATATTAAAAGTATAAAGAGACTTCCAACAAGTCCCCGAATTGATACAAATAATATAAACAAATAAAAACTCACTTCACCGTGTGTGAATTGGAAAACAGTTCCTAGTGTTAGTGGTCATTCTAGTTGCATCTTAGTGTTGTTTGTAATCACAAAATTTCCAAACTGTACGAGTATTTCACTATACGAGTAAAAATCTGAAAATCGTTAAGCGAGGTACCACTGTATATAATTGTTTTTGTTTTAGTACCCAAACTACATACAACAATCATATAAACTAGAACTGAAATAATTTATTTTTCATTTTTATATAAAAATATATTATGATTATTTATAAAGAAAATGAATAAATACAGACAATTACTAATATTATTTTTTTAATGAATTAATTGATTGATTCATAGCATAATTAATCTCCTATATAATTGTTTTATTGCTAAGTGGCGTTTTCCCAAGTGTTTCCAAGAGTTATAATTCTGCTTCTCGATGAATATTCTACAAATATCCAGACTAATTATATCCGTCTTCTTGATTAAATTGTTTCCAACATATTCGAAACTATTTTTGTTACATAAAAATTGAACAATATACCACATAACATTTGTGATTTCCCTCACAATTATGGTTTGAAACATATTGTTGTAAATCTACATTTACTTGTGCCGAATTATTTCCAAGTATGTTTCCAGTTTTAAACAATAACAATGTAATTTTTAAACTTATTGTTCTAAAATTTGTCATGTGCAATAATATTTCTTACATTTTTACATTCCCTGGCCTAATTCGGGTTCATTGATAGCGCAAAATGAAATGTGGAATTCCCAAAACCAATTTCACATTTTAACATTTATTTTTGTTAGAATTATATTTGCTTCATTTACTTGTAACGTCGTTATCATAAAGAAATGTAAATGAATTCATTAAATTGAGCTTTGGAAATGGATCAAATGATAATAATTATAAGAAAATTGGGCTAGTTAAGGAAACAATAAAAAAAACGATATATTTTTTTTAATTAACTTAATATTTTTATTCAATTAATTGCAGGTAAACGTATACATTAGTAATGGTACAACAAATAATTAAATTAATTTCATTTTTTTTTTAATAATTGCAATTATTTTAATAATTATAATTTTTATATTCTTTATTGGTGACTTTCATGGTTTTGTACGAGCAGACACAACCGGCTGGCATTTGGAAGTAATCTATGTTGATCTGTCCGTTTTCCGTCAACGCGAGAAGTCTGATGGCAATCCTCTTAGTTTTGCAGTAGGTTTTATAGTCATTGGGAATAAAAGAATCCGCGAAACATTTCGCTTTCTGCCTGAAATGAGCCACAAATAAACGATTGATTAATAATTGGAATGAGCGCAAACGTTATTCTACTTACGAACAAGCTTCGAAATGCACGGCCTGTCTCATATACTGTTCATCTTGGACAATGAATTTCCATTGCATATCCAAATTCATAGCTTTCCTCGGGTACATCAAAGTCTCTCTTGTAGTGCACATATTCTTTTCGACGTCGTAGTTAATTCTAGATTGAATACCAATGTTCTCCACTAATTCGATTACAGTTCCATTGTAACCTTGATAACCCTTGCTCTTCATCAACAGTTTGCTGATGTACTTTGCTGGATAGTTGTCCGTTCCGTTGCAAACATTTTCAACACAATACTCTTCCAAGTGCTGCTTTGGTAAAAACTTATTCCTTTTTGTAAGTTTAGTTTCGCGCCGTGAATGCGATTTTTGGCCATGAGAAACGCATACCTGTAATAAGCAATAACATATATTATTTATAAAAAGAAAACGTAATCCAATAACTTACAACTGCAGTCAGTACAAGAACTAACATTAAAGATTTCATCGTGGAAACGTTCTTTTCGTAATCTACCAACACGAATAATGTGAAATAATGTCTTGCGGGTTATTTAAACGTTCTTGGCTTTGTTTATCTTTACAAAGTGATTTCATTTAAACCACATCCGAATCAACTAATAACCTGCGCTTGTCGTTTTCTAACGTTACATTCAACCACGTGCTTCTTGCTCTTTTTTTCCCTTCCTTCCTTCTAAACATAATTATACAATTATTTCTTACTTTCAACAAGCAACATCATTGCCAAATTTATTTACTGTTACTTCTGAAGGAATCCAAATATAACTTATCTAAAACTGAATAATTTGTATTTTCTGTTAAATATAAAGTGCTTAACACTTATAAAACACATAAAAATAACAATGTGTTTAAATAAATATGTAATCAGTGGCGGTTTACTTCTTTCCTCTACGTTTAGTCTTGATAATCCATTTGGCGGTTTACCTTGAATGTTTTTTAATTCGTTTTGTTGTAACCGTTAGCTATTGAAAACATACCTAAAACCATTGCAATTATTTAATATCATCTGGTTGTTATTTTTGCATTTTCATCCAGCATCTGGTTTTTCATGAGGGTTTTCCTTTTGCTTCGGGCTAAAAATCATCATTGAACTTAATACATTTAATTATAATTATTTTTGTGACAAATTAACTCATTAACCGCAGTCTATTAATATAGTGTTTATGTATTATATAAAAAGTATGAAACTAAATGACGATGTTGTCGACGTATAAGGAAGTTGCGCAATTTTTGAATCACGGAAGAATTTTAAAATAGATTTTATTCCCCTAATTACTAATAGATTATCTAGAAACACTGGATATTTACTTTAGGTCGTACGCAAATCCGATATGATGTCATTTAATAATTCTATCGCCAAAAACAATATTGTGTAAATATATTCAGCGCTCACATCCGTTTCATAATACGTACATGATTATTTCCGTTGATCCAACAGAACCAAAGTACAATATCCACACGAACGTACAATGATGTAGTTACAACAGTTTTCAGATTTCCATTTGACATTGTTATTGGAATTATGTTTCTTTTCCTCAAACTAAGATGTATGTAACAATGTGTACGTTCGTATGAACTTCAAGTATCTTCATTCGAATAAGCACACGTGTCTACAATGAAATTGACTATTCAATTTAGTACTACTTTAACTGAGACTAAACACTGCATTATAAATTGTTAATGTATTCGATTATGTTATTAAAGGGATATGTAGAAAATAATAATCAGTTTAATAACCAAGTTTTCTTTTTATTTCATCACAAGACACTTTTTTTTTCCATTAAGCGCACAATAAAAGAAAATTCACATTCGTGTATAAAAATTACTTGAAAACAACAATTATCAGAATTTAAAAAAAAATATGCAAAATACAAATGAATTATTCTGTTATAATTTAGTTCGCGTTTTCTTCTTCAAATCTTATTTTAAACAGTATAAAAGCTTATTTCTCTTTTCTTAAGGCATATATTTATCACCCATTATTATTTTTTGGAATTATATATTTCGTGAACGATCACAGTTGCCTTTCTCAAAATCCGAACGTTTTTTTTAAATAAATTTAACGGAAAACGTTATTAAATTCACCGAATTGACAATTACTGATGGAAAGCAATAATATTATAACAATTTGTAGCTGAATCTGTGTAAGGTAAAAACATTCATACACAGTGTTTCATGAGTGTAATAAACGAATTAAGGTCGGATATTATCGAACAAAAATGTTTTCTATTCATCAAACAATGTTTCCTCAGCAAAACTCTAAACACTAACTATGTTTTAATTCTGCATCAATCCTGATATGTTCTCTATATTTGTACAAAATCTTCGCATTAAAGATGCGATTACATTATTGAAGCAACCCAATTTCAACACTAAACTAATCCTCGAGATCCTTATAAACTACGTAATTAAGAACTGTAATTTTTTTTAGAAATTATGAACATTTTAAACAACTCATCTCCACTATAATAACAATTATTTCTAACCTGAAAGTAAAAATAGCGTTATTTGCTAATTTTAACTAGATTGTACAAGAAAAATAACAAAATGTGCAAAAAACAATAAATTAATTAAAATAAAATAAACACGTAGTCTTTATTGTCGAATTTTTGTACAAAAAAAAAATATCGAAGAAGAAATGAAATGACAAAAGAAAACAAAGCATCTAACGAGAACCTCGACCTTGTCCAATCTATAAATAATAATATAACAACAATAATATGATAGCAATACAAAATAAATTAATTAAACAACAACAAAAACTAAATAAAATGGCATGCCAATTAGATAACTACAAACTATGAATCCGGGAATCATCTTCTAAACGTTCATTGTTCATGGTAATATAAAATATTATATAATACTGCTGTGAGCAATAATTACAAGGTATAGAAATTATCGAATGAAGTAGCTGAGGTTATAAACGTCTACGTTGTGCTTTTTTAAATATTATCTATATATAATTAATGTATAGTATTACTTTAAATAATCCAAGGCACTAATTATTTTTCGCTTCAAAACAGCACGTTTTGGTTAGTACAGAAAATATTGCATACAAAACAGTCAACTTTAAGTATAAATGCACCTTCAATTGTTTCCTAAGTAATACTCGCGGAATATGACTACTATTCATATGTGCGTTTAATAAATTTAAGCGTGTGAACTAATAAACTTTCAACACGTTTTTAGTAATGTTTGGACTTTGAATTTCTTTTCACCATTGTTTCAATAAATAAATTGACTTAGTCGTTTGACATGTGCGTAAATTAATAAATTTCGAAAAACAATATAGACCTGTTTCATAATTTAATTGAAAACATATACTTCACTCTCTAGTCGTACAACTCTAGCGCATCGTAGTCAATTGGATTAGGATCACGAGGTTTCCTCGAATATTTCAGTCCAAGCTCGTCGGCCACCTTGTCGATCGTCTCCAGTGCATAATCCAATTGTTCCTTTGTGTGTGCAGCCGACAAACAGATTCTGATACGTCCTTGCATCAAGGGAGTGGCCGGATATCCGACGCCGACTGTAGCAACCTTATGCTTGATCAAAGTTCGAACCATCGACCTACAAAAAACAATATTATTATTTCACTCAAGAGATCAATCATATTAACATACGAAATCTTGGAAAACAGGTACACTAAGATTGGTACTACTGGCGAGTCTTCATTCCCGTAGGTGATAACACCGATTTGTGCTAAACGTCGTCGAAAGTACTTGGTATTCCTCGCTAATCGTTCGATACGTTTCTTTCCCTCGTCGGTTCCGTCTTTGCCCATCAGAATTTTAAAAACGGTTATGATTTGAGCGGCCACCGGCGGTGACATTGCCGTCGCATACTTCGATGCACAGCTGTGCTTCCTTATGTGCGATATTAAACTTCTACTGCCAGCAATATATCCGCCAGCCGATCCAAAGCTTTTAGTGAAGGTACCCATCAGAATATCAATATCCTTCGGGTTGCAACCGTAGTAATCGACGACGCCGCGTCCGCATTTACCCATCGCCCCAACACTATGCGCTTCATCCAAATACAAATACGCTTTGTATTTCTTCTTCAATTCTATAATTTCCGGTAGACGAACGACCGTCCCTTCCATACTATAAACACCTTCAACGACAATCAAAATCTTTTTCCACGGCGTGTGCGTCTTGCATTTCGGCTGACCGTACACGATTGCTTCTTGCAATCTCTTTTCCAAATGATCAACGTCTAAAAATGCAATGAACATAAGTTACTTATATAAATCATTATTCAAACTATTTACCATTATGATGGAACACTTTCACCGTGGCACCGGACATTCTAATCCCCAATATAAGTGAAGCGTGATTCTTTTCATCGCTGATCACCAAACAGCCTGGGCTTAAAATGACTGGTATATTTAGGGCGTTCGTGGCGAATCCCATCCCGAAAGTAATAGCATCCTCGGTGCCCAAAAACTCAGCAGTTAATTGTTCCAGTTCTACGTGCAGATCGCACGTGCCGTATTTCTGTCGACTTGAACATGTCGAAACGCCGTATTTCTCAATCGACTCGACAGCCGCATCAGCGCAGGGCCCTTCACTTTCCGCGAAACCCAAATAATTATATGAACCTAAATTTAAACACTTGGTTTTCTCCCCAGTAAACCTTAAATTTAAAATTAACAAAATATTGTTTTTTTTTTTCAAAAGTAAATCCAATTTAACATACTTAAAAGTCCATCCATAATCCTCTGAAACGCGGTTTTTTAAAACCAATTCAGCTCCTGGTACACTGCAGATTGGATAATTCCAGCAGTCCTTGATCCTTCTATACAAGTACAGAGAGTAGAATGTTACGAATTTATTGTATAACGGTGGATATCCTTCGCGGTTGGTCTCTTTAGCTACTTTCGGCGGAAACAACGTTTGACTCAAATATCCCAGAAACATCAAAATGTAAAAACCTAACAAAATTACAACATTATAAACTTTTCATTTATTAGTCGATAGTAAAATTAATTACCTAAATGTGTTAAAAATATGGTCACGATGCTGGGTATCTCGAACGACTCCTTTGCAGTCCTGTTCTTTGGTTTGCTGGTCTCTGGTTCAGTATTAGTCGAATTCATCTTCATAAAAAATAAAAAATAAATGTCCAGTAAATATTTCTGACCCATTTTTATATTTTCAATATATACACATAGCCGTAGTATTCATCAATCAATAAAATCAACTAGGAATTACGCCCAATGACCTTTTAATATCACACACAACGTACAACTCGAATAGCTCAATTGGACAGCGCCAGTAAAAATAGAAACTATTAATTTTGTATGCCGTCGTCGAAGCACACGTCTAAACAATCTACATTTTATATTTGTTGGATTGCACTAATTGTTAAATAGAATATGACTTTTCTTTTCATTCACACACAAATTGAAAAATTGTAAAACGACTCAAACATTAGACGACATGTGAATTGCGATAACAATAAGAAGGTTTCTATTAACAGCGCCATGACATGTATACAAGAAAAATATTTGACTAAGAGCAATTGAATTCAGATGATCTTTATTTAAAATTAAACTTGGCAAGTGGAGGTGTTAATAATTTACAATAAAAAAGAAATGTCACGGCACATACTTTTTCAATTCATCATTCGAGGAACGTTTTATTTTGATATCGTTGATGCATTCGCATCGTTAAATACACATACTTATGAGTAGTTTAATTTGTTTCGTAAACCAATTACAAGTCTGTATAGTTTGCATTCCTTACCGAGATGTGGGCTTATCTCGTGTTCCTCGAATCCCACTCTCTCCAAATTATTTAAGATTGCATTTGCACTTATATAGAATTGACTACAGTTGTTTTATTTGACATGATGAATTGTTCTAACTTTATTTTATAGTTTAAATATATTTATCTTACCGGAATATGTCCATTTAGGCCATTCTTCTTTGGGCAAGTTATTTTGCCATTTTTCTGAAAAAAAAGAAAAAAATATTTGCAATAAGATATTAAAAATGATACAACTTGAAATTTAATGATTAATAAGTAGATTAACTTAATCCAATTTAAGTAATAACAAAAATCATAAATTATACAACGATGGAAGTGCAAATGGGCACTTTTTCCAGTTATTGTAAATAACATAGGACGATATAAAATATGTACGTTAGACATTCCAGATAGTGATATTTATATAGTTCTGATAAACAACTTGACAGCATTGCTGAAATATATTTTATTCGTTTTCGTATTATTGTTATTATATAATTATTATTAGTACGAAATATATAAAAGTAAACATTCAATAATATTGCAAAAAAAAACTTTTTTAATATGATTACTGTACGAAAACATACGGCCGATTGATAATTAATTAAATTTGCAATTAAAAGTTTTGTTGTTGTTATTGTATATAGATAAAATAACATCAATGTGTGTATACTAAAAATGATTCAATTAAAATTATAGTATTTATTGAAATGAATTATTTATATATTTATTTAAATGAAATTGTGTAAAATTGCTTAAAATGATATTAAATTGCGAATATTTAAGTTAAATTGAAATTAGTATGTAAATATTGTACAATTTAGTAAATAACTATTTTCAAACATATTTTAATATATGTTCAGATTGAGTTATTTTTCCACAAAATAGTAACATTATTATATTTTAAAAAAAAAAGTCATTTAGCATGCATATTTTTTCTTAAATCCATATAATTCCGGGCGATACATTGAAAACACGTTTCGATAATTCGTCGGGACCTCGAAATTAATGTTGCTGCTGCCGTAATAATCTCGTGTGACTCAAATGTCACGCTTGTAACATTCAAAACTAATTGATAATTGATTAGATAAATAAAAAAAATATGATAAATAAATAAGAAAATTCAAGTCATTTTGGGAAAAAAAAAACATATTTCTTAAGAATTGTCGCTACTTTCTAAAAAAATCAGTATTCCAATTAAACATCGGTACTATTTTTTTATAACAATTTGCCATAATAAACGCAAGAAGATGATTATATTCCATTTTAAAACTTGTTTAATTCGCGCCATAAAATGTTATTAAAGAAATACCAAATATTTATACTGTGGAAAGGTACAAGTTATTCAGAATATTATAGATACCAGAAAGCAGGTGTATTTATATAAGATTGTGATGTTAACAATGAGTTTCTTGCAAATAATTTGTGAATAGTTGAAATGCAGAAGAAAAATAAACTTTTTCTATCAACTTTGGTAGAAATGTAAGCGTTTAAACGCTTGTTGAGAATCCAATTAAGTTTCTTCAATATTTGAAACGTGCGTCAAATATGAAGATTTTCTTAATCTTATTGTATGAAATTCTCTATAAAGATTAAGTATCAATGTTTCTGTGGTGTATATTTTATTATAAGTAAAATAATACAATTTGATATGTGCTGAAATGGAAAATAATCGAGACACTTTTTGCGTATATAATGAATTTTGTAGTTCTTGAACAAATATATACGCGTCTCAGATTACACACACACACTTGAAATTTGCACAGTTGGCAAAATGCGGTAAATAAATTTAAATTTCACTTCGCTCAGAAGCATTACATTTTAGGTTAAGTCATAAACCTCAGACTGCTGCTTTTAGGTAACAGGAAACGTGCGTTTCGGAATACGAAAACACCGTAGCAAATACAAACACAGTACGGGTCTGGGTGTGCTGTTCATTTCAATCGGTGGATTAATAAAAAACCGCTTGCGCTTCTTCCCAATTGGGGGGTTTATTTACGTGTACTTGTGCACTTACTATGTATCCATTCGTAAGTGCTTGAGTGAAAGCCTCTTTAGTTTTGAAATCCTCGTATTTCACCCCATTAGCCAAGTCCAATTCGCTCTGTTGTTGGTGTTCATCACCACCGCCCCATTCCGACGTTCTCGTCGCCATCTCTCCGTGCAAATCTTGACTGAAACCACCACCAAACAGACACCGGACGGCGGCGCCCAGCAGACCGATCCAAACTAAAAAAAATACACTGTTTGGTGTACCGTTCCGTTGGGTTTGTTCTCTCTGGTATCGTGTGTATACGCCGGTATGCGCTAACTGTCAATACGCGTGCGTGTTGGCGCAAACCGACATAATACAACGTCAAACACGGATTCAGAGCCTCCCGAACTAATTAATTTCAAGATTAAATGCAACAACAATTGTTGCAGTATTAACTAATATAAATGTATGTACTAATATTAGTGCTACAGTAACCGACAAGTTGCAATAAATCTGATAATATACTTTGCAAATACGTTAACACTTGCTACTGATATAAGTTTTTCAAGTAAACATATGAAAAAGGAAATATAAAATAATACTATTTATTTTGATAATTATACTTTCCAAAATGTATGAATATTTATTAGGTCAGTAAAAATGCAAAGTTTTTGACTGTTATCAAAATCATCACGTTGGCGCAAACCGACATAATACAACGTCAAACACGGAATTCAGAGCCTCCCAAACTAATTAATTTCAAGATTAAATGTAACAACAATTGTTGCAGTATTAACTAATATAAATGTATGTACTAATATTAGTGCTACAGTAACCGACAATTTGCAATAAATCCGATAATATACTTTGCAAATACGTTAACAAATTATAGGATAAAATTGCTACCCATATAAGTTTTTCAAGTGAATATATGAAAAAGGAAATATAAAATAATACTATTTATTTTGATAATTATACTTTCCAAAATGTATGAATATTTATTAGGTCAGTAAAAATGCAAAGTTTTTGACTGTTACCAAAATCATCACGTTGGCGCAAACCGTCATAATACAACGTCAAACACGGATTCAGAGCCTCCCAAACTAATTAATTTCAAGATTAAATGCAACAACAATTGTTGCAGTATTAACTAATATAAATGTATGTACTAATATTAGTGCTTCAGTAACCGACAATTTGCAATAAATCCGATAATATACTTTGCAAATACGTTAATAAATTACAGGATAAAATTGCTACCGATTTAAGTTTTTCAAGTAAATATACGAAAAAGGAAATATAAAATAATACTATTTATTTTAATAATTATACTTTCCTAAATTTACGAACATTTATTAGGTCAGTAAAGTTGCAAAGTTTTTGACTGTGACCAAAATCATCACGTTTATCAGATTTGTAGTTTTACATGATGAATCAGAACAATTAATTGAATATATTATAGACCAGAGTTTCTTAACCCAACATATTTATTTGTAGTTGACTTAATTGCTAAGAATATTTCACCAGTTCTTCACTTTGACACAAGTTGAGAGCCTAATTTTGGGTTTCAATCCATAAGTTGTAGAAAAGCTAACATATTTCACAAATATATGAAGAAACTTTATTCCAATTGGATGTATAGACGCGTTAACAACATTTTCACAGTTCTAATATATTTAAAATAATTATTTTAAAAAGGTATTTCGAAAAGAGAAATTCTTCCATTCTGACATGTACAATGTGTTGTGTAAGCATCAAATTAGTGTATCATAAATCCGAGTTGATAAGGCCACACTCTGTGTCATCGGTTTTATTTCATTAAAAGCTGAATACACATCGCATGAGCTCATTTCATATTTAGCGTACACGTGGTTCATGCGCATCTTCGTGAAGTATGTAAAAATATTTGCCCGATATTCGCTGATAAGGACTCCTCTAATGGAATAAAGCTTTCCCATCCTTAATTTGACGTCCACACATCCACACCTAGTCCATTTACTATTTTTCATTAAAAAATAATTTGTAAAAGCAATATTTCTTTGTTTGGAAATGTTATTGTTAAATGTCTAATTATTTCGAACTTAAATATTTATGTTGTTATTAAAAGTTAATTAGTAATTTTAAATAGAGTTCAAATAACAGATGTTGTTTTAAATAAATTGATTACCAGTATTAATATTTGCTTTGTCCCTAAATTGAACGAAAGGGATATTGAAGTGTTTTGTTTAGTTAACAAACGTTAGTTAGTAATTATGATGTTAAAGTTAATTAAATTAATGTTAGTAACATTGTCAACTGTTTGAAATATTACAGACAATAATTTGATAGATATTGCTTCAAGTTTAAAATGGTATTAAACTATGTTATGGTTGAGTTTTGTGGTGCCATCTGGTATTAAGATATACTAAAGGCAAGATGGTTTCTTCTTTAGTTGTGTAATAACCAGTAGGTTCGTGGCGATCGTTTGGATTTACCAGAATAGAATTGTTCTTTTCGTACAGTGAGTCATCAAGATTTTAAATAAAGTTTGTGCTACGCCGTGGGGCGAGTGTTGTCCAATAGAATTGCGCTCTGAAATCCCCACCACTTTTGCAAAGCATCTGCAGGAAATAAAAACATTGGCTGACAGATGACAGTTTGGTGCCGGTGCCGGTAAAACGTGTTAAAAATTCCCAGTGTATATTCCTTGTACAAGTAACGAAATAATTTATAATATGGAAGCTAAAGATTTATTGATGGAGAAGGAAGGAGGTATGAAGAGGGAAATGGATTCTGTGGACGATTTTGAGCATTTGGAGAGGATCTCCCCCGTGAATGCACGTGACATAGAAGGGATAATCAATAAAGGGGTGGCGACCGCCTCCGATGCAGCAAACGACATTGCCGACGTTCTATCCACCTTCGATCCTCTCCAAACGCAAGAAGTCTCTCCGAAAATGGACTCCAACTTATTAGAAATGGGCGACGCATTCCCAGATCGCAAAGAAGCTGACGCTAAGTTGGACAAGTTCCTCAACGAGATGTCCACCTACAATAATCCAACACCACCCAAAAAGGACGACAATCAAGATCTGATCTTGAGCAGCCAGAACTTCATGGATCATGAACGGCAGCAGCCAATGCACCTGGTGCACGACGATCTCCTGGAACACTATTCAGATAGTGATCCCGAGGATGATTTCAAGCATGCCGAATCTGATGACTTCCGTAAGAGCCAAGAGCTCCCCGAAATCTCCTCCAAGGACACGTTCAAAGACTTCGTGGACTTGGAACCACCGAAACAGAAAGAGCCCGAGCAAGAACCCGTTAAAACCAAAGAACCGGAACCAATTCAAGTTGAAGAACCTAAGCAAGAGGTAATAACGAAAATCGAACCAACTAAGGTTGAACCACCCAAAATCGAACCACCGAAAGTCGAACCTCCCAAAGTTGAACCACCCAAAGTCGAACCACCCAAAGCTGAACCACCCAAAATCGAGCAACCTAAAATCGAAGAGAAGCCTGTTGAGCAAGAACCCCCGAAACCCGAACCGATTGTCGAGAAACCGAAAACCGAAGCGCAGAAGATTCAAAGCAAGAAGGATGTCATTGAGGCTGAGGCTATGTTCTGTAAAATGGGACTGGGTGAGTACGATGATTCATTACAATTACGCAACAGCACGGAGGGGAAATAAATTACCTTCGTTCTGTTTGCGAAATTATACACGCAACGTGCTATAATACCGTTCAAATTACTGTGTATTTTTTGATGGAAATTATGATTCATCAGTACCTCAAACTATGAATCACATTGTTTATCTATGTAATCAAATTCACCAACTCGTTTCAGGTTTAATTAGTTACAATTATTATCTGTGCTAAACGAAGTCACAGTTAGAATATCGTTAACTTTCGAGATCACAGTGAGAATCGATTGCTCAAACATTCCAACCGTCGCCAATGACAAATACTATGGCATCATACACCTATTTATAGATTATTTTTTATGAATTAATATTTCATATTATTCTTGAGTAGGCGACTGACTCAGGCATGTTTGTAAAAGCCCCAATTACCAGGTATTGATTTTAGAGCGAAATTATTCGTTATCATATATATCTAAGTTCAGAGACTTATAAATTTTATAAGAGGCTCAATGGTCTAGGGGTATGATTCTCGCTTTGGGTGCGAGAGGTCCCGGGTTCAAATCCCGGTTGAGCCCAACTTTTTTGCTTTAAATCAAATTAGCACATCCTGCATGCTATCAACAGTCACGATATTTAGTCACATATACAATTATAATAGCTTTTATACACGAAATAATCTTTTAACAAGAGTAAAATATTCAAATTTGTCCCATGGCTAATGTAATTTCGGTGTTTGAAGTGGTTGACTGCGTTTACTTTAGTTGCGTAAAAATGGTTTGCTTGAAGAGTGGTCAATGACACCTTTGCGACTGGAGTAAATATTCCAGGCAAAATGAGATATAACGAGATGAACTCTGAGAAACTAAAATTATAAATTGCGACGTGCGCTCTACCAAGATTCAGTTTAGAAAGTAAAGTTCACGTTTAGAGATATGATTTGATACTAGCTAGAATTGTTGAAGCGTGACCATAATTAATTAAGTGAAATGATGCACAAATAATTCATTATTATATATTTATTTATTATAATTATTGATTACTATCATAGAGTTAACCATGAAACCGTTTCGAAATGAACCAAGTTGAACTACTTGCTCTCGATGGTCATTCAACCTGCTGGTACTTGAGGTTCTTCTAAATTTACGTATACGTATTACATTATTTTTTTTGTTTTTTGTACTAAAATATTCCAGTCATTTAGCCGATTCAATTCTCAGACAAATCTGGAAGCTTTCCAATGCGAGTTTATAATAGCTGAGCAGGAACGTTTGTTCTTTCCTTCTTTTTTTCCGCAAATGTTTTATTTCTGTTCCTTTTAAAATCGATTTAAATTTCGCTGTATATTTTTAAATGTCCTTCGCCCTCGATCCGGAATTTATGTGATTTTCTACTTGCTCTAGCAGATCATTTTTTTTGTGTGTGTGTATACGAATGATAATAGTATTGATTCAACATGGGATTGTAGGGCACATTGTACATATTAATTTTCGTTCTGAAATGGTGATGCCACAGAACAATAGATGGCGATGAAAGCCTCAAAAAGGTAGGTGGTTTTTAATACCTGATAATCTTTTTAGTCTTTAAAGTATACCTTTTTTAATAATGTTCATGTTATTTACTTCTATCATATATTTGATTAAACCGATTTTTGTGAACGTTACTGTTGTACAAAGAATATATTTCCATCATTTCATAAATATTAATAAAGTTAATGCGGGTATTTTATCTGATAAATATTTGCCGAATATATTAATATGATATAATCTGCGCTTTGATTTTCAATATGATGAGAGTTGATAACGCTCACATTTTTTTTGGTAGATTTGTGACCTAGATCGGAGTTTCTCAAACTCTTTGGACCGCACCCAAAATGCACTTAAAAATGTATGTAAAAAAATCAATATTTTGTAGAGCTAACTTCTCTATTTTGTACTTCTATAGATTGTAAAATGTGTTGCCTAGTTTGTAGCTGCATTTCATTTGCATATTCTTATATGTAATAACTTTTTAAAACATGAAATTCATAGAATTAAACATATTAGGACAACCATATTTTTTATATTTTCAATAATCTACCTGAAAATTCCTGAAAGATTGCTGGTATCAGAATTATAATTTATTGTTTAGGATTATCAAGTAACAAGGTTAAAGATTATCTCTATTTGTTCGTATATATCTTTTCCAGCTATATCTTTCATTTAGATGCATTTCTTAATAATTTTGTAGTTCTATGATATTGCTCTTTAATTTCGCAATGGAGTAATTTAATTATATAATAATTTTATACACATAGGTTTGGCCAACATTTCTTTTTCTTTTTTTTAGTTGATATTTGACAGCTTACAAAAGTTAAGCAACGTGTGTCGTGGACAGTCCTTGAATGTATATCCGGGTAACATTTGCCAAGTCGGGATAAATAGAACTTTACTGTAATAGACCGAATCCAACTTGCTAGAGTAATGACTTTTAACACAACGTAAAATTCTGAAAGATCAAACAAACAAACATTATTTTTAATAAGTATAATTGTAATTCTATGAACGAAATTTAACAATTGGAAACTAATATAGGAATGTTTCGAGAACATTAATTTTGATATGAATCATGTCTTTATTTAAATTCCATACTAACAAGTATGACATCACTTTTATTTTATAAAAATGTTGCAATGTTCGTCGATACCTATGAAATAAGGTAATTCCGAATTTTATGAAATAAATGTAATCCAGCTTCTATAAATGATTAAATAATTTATGTCCACCTATGTTCAAAATAACTATTTTTGCGATTCATTGCTCTCACAATCTATTTTCATATGTCGTAATATTAATAATTTATTGCATATAGACATGCTACTGATAGTAGTTTAATGATATTTACAAAATATCTTGGTATTCAACTTTTTGTGTTTTATTTAAATAGTAATTACGTGCAGGCTTCCCGGTTTATTTGAACGCTATCAGTAAAAAAATAATTTTTAGGCTCGTTTATGTGAATATGTGACGTGGCTAAGTATATACTGTGTGTTGTGTGTGAACAAACAATTCAAGAAGCATAGCTGACGACCAGAGCATTATCTGTGGTTGTTAATTGTATGCTTTGGGCCCCTTTCCTTTCTTTGATGGTACATCCCAATTGAGGATGCGTGCGTTAAATGCACCTTGGTTTATACATACATACATATATATATACAGTATATATAAGTGTGTATATATATATATATAATACGGGCTAGAGTGAGGTTGTCGACGGTGTCGTCTTGCTCACTCACGGTCGATATCTGAACGCCTGCCCAGTTATCGTCCCAGAACCATTCCCAGCGCATATCCTCGCACTGACTCGCATTGGCTGCGTGTAAAATTCATTTTAAATTAGTAACAATTACATTGTCGCTGTGCGAAGTGCGTTCGTGTCGTAGTGGTTGTTTTTTCGTTGTTGAATCATGGATACCGTGAAAGATACTGTCAAGGGTGCAGTCGAGGATATCATTGACGATGCCTACGAGAAGGTTTGCAAACTGCAGAAGCCGTCCGATAAGAAATGCCTAGACAGATCACTTCTCTGCGTCATGTTTTCGCCTAGTAAGAAATTTACGTCTAAATCCACTGATTAGTCTAGCAATTAGAAGATGAAACAGATAAAACAAACGCGTTTCCGTTCGTTGCGCATTTAAATCTTGACGTGCAAAAGATACTTGCCATCCATCCATAGTGTCCTTCGATATTCATTTCAAAAACATGGAATTATTGCAATTTAGCATGCAAAGATAAATCAAATAAATGCATACTCTTATCGCTTGTACAAAATGTACGTGTGTATTTTTTCTTTCAGTCGAGCGATGTATTGACTTTTTGAGATTGGTACTTTTCCAGTGGAATTAGTGCAGACGTACTAATGATTGTCAACCTAATTTCAGTCGGTCGTCATCATTGACTGCTAATCACCGTATGCGATGACATGTGATAATTAGTAATTGCGGAGCATCGAATTCACTGTAACAATGATTATTTATGGTATTATTATTAAACGCTAATCGGTTCGACCTTTCAACCTGAAGCCAAGGTCCAACATGTTTCAGATTTAATTCACGTGTAGGATCGCTCTTCATTGAATTGTGTGTCATATAATCAAGTAGTCTTGCGCAACGTTATGTCAAATATACTATGAAATAACAAATCTTAATATTTTACTTATGATATAAATTAATTTACTTGCAATATGAATAATGAACTGAAATTATTCGTTCGTTTAATCTCTTATCCAATTATTGAGAAAAAAAATGTTTCTATTAATAGATTCGGTTACATAAGTCTCAGATAAAATGATTAGATTAAATAGATTACATTATGCTATAAAATATTTTGTAAGGATTTAGTTTGATCGAACAAATTAATGAATTATTGAGAAAATTTAATATTTCTTTCTTTCTAATGAAGCCACATTATTCACCACATTATTGAAACTAATATATTTTTGTCTTGCTATCAAAATAATAGTCATAATTTCATAGTTTTTGAAGACATCAAATTATATTTGCTAATAATTAATCAACAAATATAACTAATTGCACAATTTTCTACAATATTACATTGATAATTGGTAACAATATTTGTATAATGATAGACTATTTTGATGCAATACTATCAAATAGAAAATATTTTCGTTTTGGACACTTATCAATTATTGATTAAAACTATGATAACTCACTGTCTTCATAAGCACAACAAGACAGTCTCAATAATAATTTAATAATACAACTAGAAATAGTTCAAATTTCATATATATTTTTGTAAAAGTTGATATCTGTTATAATTATGCAAGTGATTACTAAAAAAAATGTTTATCTTTATTGTCCCCAATATTATACTTCTGTCAATGATTACGTTTCTTGTGTTAGTTATGATAGCTTGCTTTCTTTTTTTGTAGAATTTAAATGAACACCAGCGAATTTTTCTGTTTCCTTAGTGTTGTGTTACTATGCTGTATCTAATTTCTGCAACAAAGGAAACGAAATACCGAGAAATTCAATCTGCGGAAATACGTGTATGTCGTGTTCCTCGTTGAATCTAAAAATCTACTATTTTTTTGTTGATTCTATTTCTTATCCACTGTATAAAAGCGTATTAGCCTTATGTTGTGACTTGGGGTAGTATTTTATACCTGTTTTAATGTTACCTGGCTTTTCCGAACAATCGGAGGGGCATTTTTTTTTATATCTTTTCGGTTAGGTTTAAAAGAAGTTTCAACGTCATAAGATTTAACAGCAGTCCAGATAATATTGTTGAGCAAAACCTAATTACAAGAATAATGCCTGCTATTAATTGAAAGCTAATACAATTTAATTATAGAAATAAACCTATTAAGTACATTTAACTAATACACTTTTAGCATTTAATTGATGAATAAATATATTGTAGGACACTTTGGTAAATGGTACTTGTCTCTTCTGAACTAGCATTGTATATGTATATATATATTTAGCTTTTAACAAATCTGCACACATTTACTTTTAATTAAATTCGAGATGCACTTTATACTAACTAAACACTTCTTAACTTCCTTTTTGCAGATGCTTGGTTCAACCCAGAAAGGCTGAATCCTAAAGGTGAGTGTACGCTTTTTGGTTTTCTCGAGATGAAAGCGCTTCGCCTGAATTAATACCAGATGCTTTATTCTTAACCGCGTAATTTAATTACTTTGAATGCTGCCGTGCGTTTTGTGCATAATCAATGAATTTTCCACTCCGAAATTTCATGTATTTAATTTGTTGTTATTGCATAAGTGAACGTATATTTAGATGCGTATTATGATCCAGTGTTCACTTTCGCGCCTCAATGTCACCTCGATGCTTCACTTCAAGGTCTTCATACGTCGCAAAGTCCATTGTTAACAATAATTGTACACTTTAATTTTCTTTTTTTTGACCAAATCTTTGCAAGTATACGAAGCAAATATCAAATGCGGAAGCTTCACATTTATTTTTGTAATGTTGTTAACTGTGAACATACTTTTATTATTTCTTTGTAATCGAAAGGCATTCCAACTAATTGTCTCATTTTTATCGTTTATTCTTGTAATTGTATAATTTGAGATGTAAAATCCTATCATTGAACGTACGCAAATCGGAAAACCATTTTTTTTTTGAGTGAATTAAAGGTCGTGGTATTTCCGAATCGAAGCAATAAAGGAAGCCCTTGATGTACGTAAATAAATTTGCGCACATATACAATGACTGTCAATTGTGTGCACGTTGACAAAGTCGTGCACGTCGAGATATCTATCCAACATGGCTAAAGCTTGACGGAGGAACGGACGGATATATCTTTTAATCAATTTAGTAAAGCAGGATTTACGATGTTCCAGATTTTATTCCTCCTTTTCTTTTTATTGTCTGTAATTAAATTAAGTGGACGAGACCGACGCCGAGATCAAACTGCACGCGTAATTGGATCTTTCAATATCATATTGTTACCTTTCAATGCTGCGCAAATAGTCTTCCACTGTTTGATTGGATTCCTTTCCGGATTACAGTCGAGTAATAGGAGAGTGCTTTTGCGAAAATTGATTTTTTTAAAGGTTTCTTTTGCCGTGCAATAGAGAGCTTGTGTGTCGTGGGATTCATTTTGGTCGGTCACGAACTTTGCATGACGTTCCATATTAGAAAAACAATTTTTTTTTTATTATAAAATAAGTGAACTTAATGATTGGATCATGCCGAGGTTCGCAATTCGAAAATATTGCTGAATTTTCTTTGCATCAAGGCACTTTTGAAATATTGACCTCAATAATCTGCAATACCAGAAAAAAAATAAGCGTTTTCTAATCGAATCGATGATTGTTGTATTGGCAATTCAAACTTTTGTCTTTATTTGAATACAAATATTAATTATCTTATTGCTATACTTTCCAATTTTGTTATTGTTGCATAATGCGTGCAGTAAAAATATTTAGTCATCTATGTCTTCTTGGAAGTGTGGGTGTATGTGAGAGACGGAGTAAAAGAGAGTTTGGGGAGTAAACATGAGGGGTTTCTATTGATCTTATGGTTGGTGGCATGCGCGGCGACCCGAATTTGTTGCGGGGGTCCCGACGATGCAGCTGCCGCCGTCGCGGCGCTGTTTGTGCCGTACGTGTACAGAGGGCCGTCTCTTTTACGTTGATCAGTTAGGTTTGCGACGTTGGAGAGGCAGGGTTGTTTGTGTAGTACCGGAGGGCCAAGAGTGGTTGTTTCAAATTTAGAATCTCGAAGAGTGACAGTGTGTGTGTGTGACTGAGAGTGTCAGAAAGAGAAAGAGAAAAGACCATCATCGTTGGTAGTCTGCCAGAAAGCGGTCTGTACGAGCTCCCCTTCAGCCAGGCATTCGAAACTCGACGCCGTCTTTGACCACACCGATAAAAACGACAGGATGAATCTTTTCGAGCTTTTGCGACGAGACGAATGTAAGTGCACGTCGACGATTGATTGATTGATTCATTGAATACGGTTTGCCAAAATCGCATTTCGTTGCGATCTTGTTGCCGCTTCGTTTGTTTTCTTCCCTTATCGATCCCTCCACGGATGAGCGCAATATTCGCGGACTCTGCTGATCCGAATTCTATTTCCGTGTGGAAGTTATGTAAAAAGTTTTGGCTCCAAATCATTTTCTTTTCCGTCACCCTTTGTTATGTCACCACGCCTCATTCTTAAGCACACCTTGAACTACTTAAACGCCGCCACCCCTGATCCTAGTATCTAACAAAACACTAATCGAACTAAAAGCTTCGTCAAGATGGAAGAGCTGTCAACTCTATCCGTATTCTCGTATACTTACACATTATACCGCTTCATTTTAATTGCCATTAAATTTTATCTTTGATTTCATCAACAATTATATTGGATTGAAACGTATGCGCACAATATATAATCAATAACCAAATTATTTATTTACATTTTTGATTTTATATGTCTTTTGTAGATTAAGTTAAAAGAAGACAATCAAAACTAACCGAAAAGATTGACATATTACAGGAAATACTACATTTGTTTTTTTTTTAAATGTTTATATATAATGATAGTCAATAAATCAATTAATTAATAATATATTTTAGCTAAAAGTATTAATTACTCAATTAAATTATCATTATTTTCCGCATAAAATTGGTATTGACTCATTTCTGACATTTAAGTGAATCACTTTGCGCTTGGCTCTCGCCCCACGTTATTGATTAACCTTTCAGCTACGCTTCCAAAATTGATATTTTGTTTACTACCCTTTATTATACATATGTATATTAACAAATCTTTCATAAAGTTATCAATTAAATTATTAATTAACAAAATCCATTAAAATTATTATTATTTTGTTATTTGATTTGATTTTCATGTTAATATATATACTGTTTATAGTTAATTCTGAAATATAAACTGAAATATATAAAATTAACTTGTATGTGTATGATTCGGCACATCCAAGTGTATAATTCAATTGAACATCAACCCCTCGTCCAGATGTTCATTTTTCATATGTATATAATTGGTGTAGCCAATTATCTGCACGTTGAAGATGGGGTTGTATCATCCGGCTTGTTTTGTTTATTTTTGTATACTGCTATTAGATCCAACAGAAATGCTTCCAATGAATGATTACAATACGTATGGTTCAAATTTGGTTGAGTTCGTTAATATTTTAACTAAGTGATAATAGGAAGATCATTAGTTTCGGTATCCTGGTTCATCAAATAGAGAGTGGGCTGCTGCATAGGCCTGCCTGGTAGCTTCGTCACGAACCGGGGACGAGGTCTTAAAAATACTACAGTTATGAAATTAACTTTCGGTGTCCGTCGCGAGGTTTATATTTAAAATTGGCCGCATGCACGCCTCTCGGAAATCTACAACATTTCACACACACGCACAAACATCAGCAGCACAAAGATCTACATTATTACCTTTTTGTTTCGTTTTCGCTCCACGTTTAGCTTAATTTATTTGGAACGCATTCAAAATACCCTGTCGCACATACACATCTCTTCCGAAATATTTGAACTCGTCGAGTTTATTAAACTGTACACGAGTCAGTTGTGTTGCCTACATACGACTCGCGAAGGCTATGGTCAATATTCAATTCCTAGTTTCTTCAGCAATATTTCAAATCCGAATACAAATTACAATTAAACGTTGTAATTGATATTATTTGGTAACTTGGGACAAATAGTTTAACGTACTTGCATCAATGAATATATGTGAGGTATAGCTGCGTTATGTAGCAGCGTAGCGTATTGATTATATGAAATTTGTTGTACGTTGTTTATTCCTGAATATTAAAACTTTGTGAGTGAATATTAGGATTTTGCATCTGATATTTGTGTGAATGCAAAAACGTTGAACTCATTTTTCTTTTATATATTGAGCTATAACGGTAAACCTATAATCTAGGTTTAAATAATTCATTGAAATGAAAGATACATATCGATTTTTTTTTGTTAATAATAGATCTGTTTGTCAGCAAATAATGGCAGGGAGAATTTACATGAATTATCAATAGTAGTCGCGGTTGCCACGCAATGTATAATAATAACTTCCGGAAACTGTAGTGGTGCGATGTACTTCCGCTAGGCGTTCCTAATTTGCGAACAGTAGTTTGGTAAATATTTCATTTGGAGTCCCGATCAATAAGCCGTTTCCTCTATTTATGTAACATTCGAGTTTATAAGCCTGTGGTAAGCGAAGAGAAGCCAACTAATCCTGTTTAGTTGTTGTGTTACTTCCATTGCACATGCACTACAAATTGGTTACAATTTATCATTTTGATAGTTGGAGTCTACGCCTTTTTATTGATGTTGTTGTTGCTCAACTCCAAATATTAGGGCAATAAACTGTAATTGATAACATATGTTATTTCTATAGGGATTTATTATAAGTTAATATCGATTATCGCAAAGTTACACGTTGACATCCAGATTGCTAGCTTGCATCTGCCACGGTGTCGACGTTTTGCATCGCGTTGGCTTTCCCAACACATCCACGCGGTAACTGTTCCCGTCCTTCTCCAACATCCAGACTCATACGGCAGCCCTGATAAAGAGACGAGGAGGTACCCTGCATACCGTGAAAGCAGCACACGTGTGTGCTGCTGCCGCCTGTATATGTAGTGTGTAGCTGGTATACCGTTCTCTCGCGTTCATTCCGTCGGCGACGTGGTAAGGTGTCTTACGTATCGCACGCACTCCTCAAGTTGTAGTTATAGTGTGCACCTGCTTTTCACACATCCAAAATGGTCAGGAAACAGTTTTACAACCAAAGAAATCAAGAGCCTTTGCCAGAAAGGGGACCTGGTAAGACTGCCTGCGTGTTTTCATCTTATTTCGTGTGAAAGATTCGAGACGCGGGTGAACGAACATATGGTCGGTCGGGACGTTTTGAATCGCGTTCAGGCATACATACCACCGTTCAATGGATACTGGATAGCCTTTGTGTGATGCTTTGTTCGGAGAAGCAGGTAGTTTTTACTTGTTTCCCACAAGCTACTATAAAACTTGGAAATCGTAAAATAACGACTCGACAGAGTTATACTGTTACAATTAGAAATGGAATGGTTAACATAAGTGATAAAATAATTCTTATCATGTTTTTGTTACTACAAAATACGCAAATAAGGTTTTATTCCTAAAGGAATTTATTGTTTTCCATAACTCTAAAGATAATTTGATTCAGCTGTAGAAAGTTTTTTTTTTATTACGTCTTCAATGATACTTTCGATAATACTTTCTTATGTAAATATAACGTAATAGAATTTATATTTAATTATGTAAAGTAATATATTCATAACAACTTGCCATTCACTGATTTTACTACGTTTAAGAGTTATTACTATTGTAGTATTTTTTTAATTGTTTCTAGCTGTGAATGAACGAAATAATAATGTAAAAGTAATCATAACGGTGATTACAAATTTCAATTTATGTTTGTCTGCATTAAACGAGACTTACCCAACACTAATTAGTTTACTTGTTGCAAAGAATAATATTTATTTACAACGTTTCGTTAAGAAACATTAATTAATCAAAAACGCTTGAAGGTTATCACATTGGCGGATTTTGGTCGCGATAAAGCTGACAAATAAAAATATTGTGTACGTATAACAAAAAGAGCGAACTGCAACGCTTTGCATTTTACTTAGTCCAATCGGCTGGAATTTACTGGAAGTCATATATTTTAGCATACGTGCATGTTGATTTTTTTTTGTTAAATTAGTATTTCTATATTCGATTATGTGCATCATTGTTCTATTCTTAGGTATGGCAAGCGAACGTAAGTTCAGGTCCATGGGCGAGTGCAGAAAAAGAAAGTTGATTTTGGAAATGGGAACAACGGAGTCGGCAAGAAATTTGTAGATGGTTGTAAATTAGCATCGAATGAAACGGTTCTTCTTTGTCGTGTTATTTTGCTCCGATTAGCTTTTAATTAGCGCCCATTCAATTTCCTCCGGGTATGGGCTGATACGTGAAGCAGTTTATAATTTCAAGTCTGAAGAATGTTAAGGATAATAAAACGAGGGAAGTTGTTGGAATTTTGTTTATTTTAAAATTAAATAAACATACGAAATGGATTCTGGATCTTATGAAGATTTTTTATTGCACTTACTATTAAAATGGTTTTTATTTCGATCTGGATTAATCTTGTAATTTTCATGGATCGTGGTTGTTCGCAGTCACGGTTGCGCGATATGGGTTTCGTGTCTGTCCACGAGAGTGGAAAAATAAAAGGAAGATTGCAAAGGGAGATGAGGAAATGTAACATCAGTATCTTTTATCCTTCGAGTCTATAATTTCAGGCTGCGTAATGCTATACCATGATGGGGTGTTGATGTTGAGAGAGAGTGAGAATTCGCCATTCGGTGTTCGATCGTGGACTGCGCAAGTTGGCACTAGAGTCACGGTTAAAATAAACTTCTCGCGGAATCTCGAGACGCAGAAAAAAAAGAAGACATATTCATTTATTTATATTGCATTCAAAATGGACGTTTTCGGTTTCTATTATTGCCTTAGTTTCATTTGCCTTCTGCGCGTTGAAAGTACTGTTGTTCACTAAAATTTGTCGTGTGAATTATCATATCATTAAAATTTGTGATTTTATTTTGCAGTGGAGAGTCTCATCTACTGGAGGGACCCGAAGAAGTCCGGCCCAATCTTTGGAGGAGTGCTTCTGATCCTTTTGAGTCTTAAATTCTTCTCGCTCATCAGCGTCGTGGCCTACGTCTCTCTCCTTGGACTTGCCGCCACTATTTCTTTCCGTATCTACAAGAACATCGTCCAAGCTGTGCAAAAGACCGGCGATGGACACCCATTCAAGTACGTAGATCTTTTTTAAACTATTTTTCAAAGAAATTGTTACAACGTTCGTTACCTTCTAGGGATTACTTGGAAACTGATGTAGCTTTGCCGCAACAAAAGGTCGAGGAGGTTACGAAGGTAGCTGTGACCCACTTGAACGCTACCATCGTGGAACTGCGCCGATTATTCTTGGTCGAAGACCTCGTCGATTCCATCAAGTTCGCCGTGCTGCTCTGGTGCTTCACGTACTTGGGCGCTTGGTTCAACGGCATCACTTTAATCATTCTCGGTAAAGCTTAGAATCATCACGATCTTCATCATCACCAATTAATTAAATATATTCAATATTCTTTTACAGCTTGGGTCGCTCTCTTCTCTCTTCCCAAGGTATACGAAACCAACAAGACACAGATCGATGCTAACCTTGACATTGTCAGATCTAAGCTGGCGGAAATTACCTCCAAGTACGTAACACACCAACCCAAATAAACGATCATTACTAATTCTATTACATTTTAGGGTAAAAGCTGCAGTGCCAATCGGCAAGAAATCCGAAGAAAAGAAGGAATAAGATTTTTTTTTTCAAATATTATTATTAATGTATCTTTCGTATCATCAGATGGAACCTTCAAAAAAAAAAACACTCTACGAAACTAAATGTTGCAGCATGTTTACTTTGGTTCCAGATTCCATCCCAAGTATGAAACATACACACTCCTTAAAACAAAACAAAAAAAAAAGTCGTAATATTCACACCTTATAAGAAAATAGCCCTCTGTCATATTTGAATTCCTTAAATTTTGTACATACATCTAATAATGTTTTAAATTCTGCCTATCTCCCATCTGGAAACAAATCTTATTTTTATGTTTTTATCATTTCTTTTTATAACAAACAAAAAAAAAAAACCAACAAATATTTGTGTAATACGTAAACAATGAGGAAACGCAATGTTTTCATCAAACTTATGTGTTACAGATACAATCTTATTTATAATGATTAAATATATTTAAACCTTTTTGTTTTCTTTTTAGTTTCTTATTATTATTATTTTCGTTGCATTATATGTGTGTGAGTGGTGGTGGGGGGACTAAACTGCCCCTGAACGATGAAAAAAAAATACGTTTTTTGATCGTGATCGTAGCTATGGTTGGAATAAACGTTAAGTAAGCACGCGAGTAAAGTTATTTTGTGATGGGAAGAATTGGGGGTTATTGATGAAATTTCAGAAAGAACAAAATATCCTTGGTTCTTCCTTCTATTTGCGTTTTCAGCAGCATACTTTGTTTAATTATTACTTTATTTTGACTGATCTACTTTTTATTTTTTAAGATATAGCATATACATATATATATATATAAATATAAATATTAGGATAAGGAATAATTGGAATGCGTTTCGAGGTTTCATTTCTAGAACAGTTGTAACTCTGTAATTGTAACGTTGAATTGGAGGGTTATTTATTATGTACTCCAGTTTTAAGTGTTAATATTGAATGTCTTTGTTACACACACGTGAAAAATACTATATCAGAGTAATTAAGACCAATATAAAAAAAAAGAAATATATGTAAAAAAAAGAAAAGATGAAATATCCTAGTTATTTTTAAAACTGCTGGATGCTTTTTTTTTCTGTCCGAAACAGAACATATTCGAAATGAATTGCTCTCGAACAACAACAAATTATATTAATAATAATTAAATAATTAACCACGGAGAGAGCTGTCGCATTGGATCGTTTATTTTACGTTTACACTTATTTCCTCTTGAGATTTTTCAAATATATTCTAAGTTGTTGTTGCAAACTTTTTTATATAGCTATGTATTTGCTTTATGAAATATAAATAAATAAATGATTTATAAATTGCTTCAAAAAAATAATAATAGTTCGTTTTATTAACAAATTTATTCCTTTCTGTAAATCTATTTTATATTTTATTATTATTATAATTATGTTATATTTATTTCATCATATTTATGTTTCCTTAAATAATATAAAGAATTATTCAATTAATAATTAAAAAATTATTATATTTTTGACATAGAAGTATTGAAAAAATTGACGTCGCCGTAACTAGGGCGTGGCGAGAGAGGCGCCTGCCACGAGCGCAAGATTTTGAGAATTATATCTTTTGATGTGATTACTTTCTTGTTAACTTTTACAAATAAATTAATTTGTTGTGTCCAACCATTATTATTATAATTGTTAATATTAATATAGAATTAACTTTATAAGTAGAATAAGTATTTAGAATTAGTCTCAGTAAAACGTTAATATTATAAGCATAGTCTCAGTAAAACCTGTAAAGGTGAACATAGTCTTATAAGAATCTTAATATGATGATAAATCTTAAATAGACCTAGCAACGAGTAAAGTTAAGTAAAACCAAACGAATTTCATTAAATTCCCAACTATTGAGACTCCACGACGACAATAATATTCCACTGTGTCCAAAATTCCATTCCTGGGACACAACACAAGTATTTAATACAAACTAAAGTGATAAAGCTTTTAAAGTTATTGCTATTTGGAATTGTGTATTTTCATACAAAAATATTTATAATTTAAATGTTTACATACAATAGTCACATTAAATATTGCATATTACATAATAATAAGTAAGCAGAATCGAAAGTCTTTAAGAAAATTATATTCACTTTAATAGAAATGGCTTTAAATTATTATATATGAACTCGTTAATATTTAATAGAAATAATTAACCAACGTCATCAATATGTTATTTTTTATTAACACAAATAGTTCAATGCGAAATGCAGTTAAACAATTCTAACAAATGCATTTAACTTCTACTATTCAACTTTCGAGGACGTTCAAAGAAAATCTTAACATTTATTAAGAGTATTTTATTATTTTCTTTTCTATCTATATGTTTCTAACATATACTTTGACCTCATTTTCATAAATTACGTTTTAATTAATTAAATTATCTATTTTTCATTAGTTTAATGACTTTCCCTAAATATGTTTTCTTAATATATGAAAAATCAGGTCATCCATATATATTTATAATTATTTCATGGGTCATGTATGTTACTTTTTTTGTTAAATTTTCATTTTGTTATAAAATCGATTATTATAATCCAAAAATAGAAAATTTCTTTGCCGACTTAGTGTATATGCTATCAATTCATAGGTGGCAAACAACCCTTGTTCATGATATAGATTAAATTTTAAATGTACTAATTATTATTATTTATTCATTAGTTTACAATAAGAGCAACAAAAAGCATATTGATAATTTCAACTCCTGCTATTTCGTCTACTATCAAATATCAAAAGAAACTTCTGAATACGTCGTCATTAACATGACTAAAATAAAGTAAAAGCAATGAAATTTAGATTTTTTTCAACTTAATACATTTAGATTACTCTTTCTAAATTAAGATTTCTAATTGAGTAAAACTCATTAAAACAACTATAATTTTACTATTTTACATATTTTTTTTCCATTTAACATAATCATTAAATCTTAATATTTCAAATCTATATTTCTATTAAATATGTTAGTTATTTAAGAGTAAACGATTTCTTAATTACACAATTTCATTGTCATCCGCTTTCTCTTGAGCTTATTTTTTTAACATTGGTAAAAAGAGACAATTTATGTATTTAGTTCACTTTTTTTTCGAAAATAGGAACAAAAATGAGTACTTTCAAAAATATCAAGTATAGAAAAATTTATTCATTTCATTTCAATTATATTGTATTAATCAAAGAAATAATTGACTTAGATTGATTTTGATTCAATGGTTTTCCCAAATATTAGATTTTTATTCTGTTAATCATTAAGAAACTATTGGTTCAGCTACTTGCAGTTAGATGGCAGACATTATTTCACTTCTAAAATTAATTACGTATAATTATTAATAAATACGTTAACATAATTGTTTTTTTTTTTCATAATGAGTATTTTAAGTCAATTATTACCATAATACGAAAATACTCAATAATAAAAATTGTAAACATTTGTAATGATGAGCAATAAACAACCTTGTAAATTGAACGTAATTATTTCATTGTCTTGATTCGGTGACTAATTACACGTAAAATACCGTTTACATTGCATTGAAAATATCAAAAATAGATTAATGTTGATAATAAAGTGGAAACATTTGGGAAATTGGAGATGTCGATAATCGCTATCAATTATATATTTCACAAGAAATCGAAAATACGCATTAATTTTTTTACCAGCTGATTTCCAATAAGCAAAAGTGAATGTATTTAGTCGCAGTGTGTGTGTGTGTGTGTGCCAAAAAGAATACGAAGGAAGAGTAAAAAGTGAGCCATATACCTTTCTTTCTACCTACCTTCCTCCACAATAGAACAAGTTATTTATTACGGCTCTATTTGGTCGAGCCCGAACCCTGGTTTACACTGACAAACAGCTGGCTTACATTAGGCATTTAAATTTGAAAAGAAGAGAACTACAAAAACCGAACTCTTCCCGACCTTGGAACTCAAGTGAATACAGAAGCATGCCTTTTTTTTTAAATTGTACATTATATTATATAAAAAAATGAGTATTTCTGAAATCATTTCAATTACATTTTATTAACAATTACTAGTACAATTAATGAAATTATTAATATATAGTATAAAATCAATATATTTATTTGCATTTATTATTTATCTGATTAGAATAAGATAAATTATTGTAGATACTTTATCAATTGTGGAAATTTCACATTTTACTTATTCCACAGTCAAATAATGTGTCATTTCTCTGAATTATTTTTTTTGTAGTGACATTTACAATAGACGTGCATCGCTTATCTGTCACTATTCTACAAACCAATTGATTGTGTTTTGTGTAGACTACTTAATGATTTATATAATTGCGTAATTATTATAATTAATATGCTTGCGCTTTGTGATAACTTATGCTGGAGAAGGTTTTGATATTAGAAACGCAACGTCTTCAAACTTCATTATATATATTAGAATCGTTATCCGTTTGATATTCTAGTTGTGGCGTGTTTATGTATTACAAAATAGGTTTCAGTATAACTTTGAAAATTAATTATTTTCAAAAATGTATACATTTTGAATGTATGGTGTAAAAACGTATATTTTCAGGATCGTTTTAAGATATTTGGCACCCGTGTGCTACTAATAATAAGCTGATAATCAATAATTTTATAAATAACTGTTATTATTTATATAATTATATAACACATTAAAAAAAAACTTGGAATGTATTAGGTTTGTAAAAGTATTTGTTAAATTTCACTTGCAACTGAAGAGATCTTTCACACGTATACTTATTGTACGAATTTCTGTGGTGTTATTTGTCCCGTCTTTGCAAAAGGTCTTTCAGTAGAGCTGTACTACTATTCACTACTATTCTATTGGAGAATAACTAAAGTTTTGCACGGAAATTTAATTATTATACAATTAGTAATATTAATAAAATATTGTGGTAAAGAGTAGACGAGATAAAAGGATGAACATGTTTCGTCTTTATCTATTATGTAAACCTATATAAATTGTTAATATCTAGATTCATACTCGTTCTGTTGAAATTACATTCTTTTAATAAATTACATACAAGTTTACTTATATGTTGTATATTTCTTTTTTGTAATTGCGACATGATATGCTTTCAATAAATAAAACTCGATGCTGTAATCGTGGCTTGTGACGTGTTTGTTGCGGTTTAATTATTATCTGTGCAATTTCATTAACTTCTCCAATTAATGATATCGTTATGTAACGTGTAATAAACGAAAATATATTGATTAATATTTATTAAGGACATGATCCTATGGGTATGGACAGTTGGTGGGGAGGAGGAGGGGGGTCACTTCCGTAGCAGCCGGAAGTGATAATTATAATCTTAATCCGGCAGTCAA